CCTCCCCCCTTTTTCCATTAGGTCTACCTGACATTACCGGAGCCCCCCTCCCCCCTTTTTCCATTAGGTCTACCTGACATTACTGGAGCCCCCCTCCCCCCTTTTTCCATTAGGTCTACCTGACATTACTGGAGCCCCCCACACCCCGCCCTCAATTCTACATCTAAATCAAAATATGTAAATAGTAATAGATGTAATAAACTTTTAGTAAAGAGTCACAATTACAGGATTTTTAAAAAATGTAACATATTATAGTCTGACAGGAATGATTTTTAGCATCATATAGATTACAATATGATGTAAACCATTTATGGTCCGTATTTATCATGAAGTTTCACTGGAAAAAAAACATTCGAAACATTGGTATAAGTAAATGACTGATCTGTTACGCTCGCCACATTTGAGTGACACACCTAACCTTGACATCTAGCCTTTGATACCTTACCTTTGACCATGTAAGGGGCTGACATGAAGCTGAGATTTTTCTGATCATCGAAGTGTAAGGAAGCTCTGTACGCGATGGGTATGTTTATGTTGGAAGAGTTGTCAACGTCATCCGATACACCAGATACAACTGTAGGCATTGTTGGGGCGTTGGCTTGGGCTAGGGGGTCTTGATTCGTGTCTGTTGGGGCGTTGGCTTCGGCTAGGGGGTCTTGATTCGTGTCTGTTGGGGCGTTGGCTTGGGCTAGGGGGTCTTGATTCGTGTCTGTTGGGGCGTTGGCTTGGGCTAGGGGGTCTTGATTCGTGTCTGTTGGGGCGTTGGCTTGGGCTAGGGGGTCTTGATTCGTGTCTGTTGGGGCGTTGGCTTGGGCTAGGGGGTCTTGATTCATGACTTCTGGGGCTTTCACTTGGGCAAGGGTGTTTTGATTCATGACTGATGGGGCTTTCATTTGGGCAAGGGTGTCTTGATTCATAACTTCTGGTGCTTTCACTTGGGCAAGGGTGTCTTGATTCATGACCCCTGGGGCTTTAACTTGGTCAAGGGTGTCTTTATTTCTGTCTGTCACCGATATTGAATTCTTTATTAAATCAACATTAATATTGGACTCCCGTTGGACCAATTCAATGGTGCTTTGTGTAGTCGCCATTGTGTCATTGATGCCGATGTTCATTGAGTCTTGTGATGTGATCTTGGTCTCCATTGAAGAATTCATCTTCACGGAAATCTCGTTCGATCCTTGCTCAAGTGATGATTCGTTAGCGGAAATATTTAACGGCGTTAAGCTTATCACAGATGGGGCTTCTGGCGCGGTGGTGTTTAAACTTTTTTCCACGAGACTTCTCAATTCGTACCATCGCCTTTGTTTAGACGGCTCCTCCTTTCTGGCCAGAGAACCGCTGTCCACGATTTTCCCCGTCATGTACTGCAGAACCTCTTTCAACGCCGAGATTTTCTCCGGCGCCACGCCGAGGGGTTTGATCAGCGACGTGCTCCTCTTGACGAAGACCTCTTTGGCACCAACTGGCGCCGCGGGGGCGGACAGATCGGGGCCGGTCACAGAGTCATCGAGCAGCCTGGAGTACTTAGAAGACCGGGGCTCAACCTGAGCTCTGTAGGGCTGGGGCACGAGGTTGAAGGTCCCCTGGGGTGTCCCGGAGTTCCTACTGTTCTGTGAGTTACTCGGCAGATACAGCTTGAGATGGACGGGTCTGAAAGACTTGGTGTTGTAGGAGGGCTGTGGCGCGTCACTGCTTGAGCTGTTCTGTGCTTCACGCGGGGATTTCGTGCTATTTTTATAAATGGTATCATTCACATTGGTGATATCATCAACAGATTCCGTCGCATCCGGGGTTGTACTATCTGTTATATTCATGTTGATGTTTTGGTTGTCCTGAAAGTCACGTGCGGATTCGGTGCTATTGGTAGTGTTCCTAATTGCAATAATGTCACCAGACTGCTCTGTGTCCTGCTCTGTACTATCGGTCACATTAATGTTGATGCTTGTAGTATTCAATGTGACCCGATTTTTCGTTGCAGCCGACGAGGCGTTCATGGGAAGAAAGTGTGTGTGTGTGTCAACACCTGTGTAGCTCTTCACGGTTATGTTACTTTCTTTGGTCTCGTCTGCAGTCCTAATTTTCGTGCCGTTCGAGTTTCCGATCTCTGCTGTTGGCGCGGAAACGTTATTTATTCCTGCCATAGCTCTTGCATTGACCTTGATAGAGTCAGCCATGACGTCACTCCTCCCAAACGAGGCATCTCTCACTTCAACTCGGTACGCGTCCTCTAAGGCGGCGGGCATTGGGGCTCCGTTGAGATCGACGCCCTTGGTCTCAGTGTGCACAGGTCCTGCGGATTTATTGTTTTGGGTGCTGACTGTGAGGCCACCGTCTTCGCTTGCAGAGACCGGAGATGACGTTGTTGCTCGGTCCTGCACCGCAGCCGATGCTACTGTCGCAAACGTGTCCTGTCCGGGTAAGTTGTCGTATTTCGACTTCTTGCCACCCGGTGTTTCGAGATTCAAAACCATTTCAGCTTTGTCGCCATCGTCTTTATGATTCACGTCATTCTGGGCATCGTTCGTTAAATGTTGCTTTGTCTTCAGACCGTAGCTTCTGTACTTGCTTTTGTCATTACCTCCTCTAACGTTGGGTGAAAGTTTAGAGATTTCATCGGGAAAATTAGACATTCTTTGCTGCTCAAAGTCCACAAGTTTGCCGCCTTCGAGTTCACTACCTTGTTTATTTATCACCAGGACGTCATTTATATTGCCAATAATTTTTGGATCTTTAAACTTCTTGTCTTTGTCCTCCATGTTTTTGCGGATGATCTTCTTCTCTGGATAGCTCTGAAAATCAGGCGTTTTTATTCCCTTCCGTGAGGCACTCTTGTAAGTAGACTCTTTCTGACTCATGTCGCTGATGATGTTATCGATCATTCCAACCCAGCCGTTTGTTGGTGGTTTCGAACTGCAGCCGTTCCGTCCGACGCGCCAGGCGCAGACCTGTGTGTCCGGGTCAAAGGCCGTCATCGGAGGGCACGTGAAGGCCACCGGTTTTCTGCTCACGCAGCGGATGAATTTCCGGCAGTCGTCGGGGTCGGGATACATTCGGCCTTGACCTCCGGCCTTTGCACACGAAACTATGGCATCGTAGTCTTTGACTTTGGCAAAGCCTGAAACCATATTTTAGAAACCATATAAATTACGACCAATCGCAGATTCTTTGTTGCAATGCGAATGATAGACAACCGATTGAACTTCATTGGAAAATACTGACAATTGAACTCCATTGGAAAAGTCATTGAGACGTGTAGTGTAGTAGACAATAAAAAAAGAATTCGTGTTTAACAGAGAGTGATCTTCCTTGGCGGAGTTAGGACATAAATTATAAATTTAAGATGCATTTTAAAAAAATACAGCATAGTTGGATGTTTCAATATATTTTTATTCTAATCGTAAAATAAAGTTTTAAAAAACCCACAGTATTTTAATTTTAAGTAATCTACCTTACATTAAAAATACGATAAATTATTTTAAAATAGCAGACCTTCCAAAAAAAAAAAAATCTAATATAGAAGAATCACACAAATTCTATATACTTGTAAGAGACAAATCTTTTCTCTTAGAATGAAAAAAAAAAGTCAATAACTTTTAAACAGCAAAGCCATGTATACTCTAGAAATACGAGCAAACTCTGAGAGACATTGCCATGACTTGATAGTCTTGTTAAGATATTTTGATTGCACTGAAGGCACATAGTACATGTCATACCGAATGAGATGCATCTGATACTAATAAAGAAACTTTGAGGCTAATTAAAATGTTTTTTAAGAAAAAAAAACAACTATTTGTTTCTTAATGTGCATTCACCTGAAATTTGATTTTTTAAAGTCAATTCGTGCAATTTATTTAAACTTTTTTTTTACAATGAAGAAATGAAATACATTTAACAATAAAAAAGTACAAATGTTATACACTATCTACTTTATTAGGGGCGCGCGCACATTTTGAAAGACCCGGGCAGCACGTGCACATATAAACAATGTGGAGATCGTATTTTTAAAATAAAATGATGAACTTACTGGTTCGAGAAGTGACCAGCACCGCCAGGAAAACTTGCACCACCAACATCGTTTGGAGTCTGACTTCCCAGAGGTACACGATTGTTAAACACTCTTATACAATGAAAATTCGTCACTTCAGAACGAACTAAGTTGACTCTTTAATTGTAGTTATGCCACGTTGTTCAGGCACACAACTAATTTCTTTACCATAGACAGATTGACAGCTCCTGACCAGACTTCAACATCGAGCAAATGTATAACAGACAGATAACGTTTTTACAAATAAAATAAATGACCAGTGTCCCTTTCTGAAGCCCTGATCTCGTCTGCCTTGCGTTAGAATTGTCCAAGCTTTTAGAGGAGTCCAGGTTTTATAGGGGCAGACAATCGCGACGAATTAATCCCAGGAATTATCCTCTTTCGCCCCCTCCACCCCGGGGGGGGGGGAGTATTTGGACAAGATTGGGTCAGGAAAAGATTTTGATTCTAAAGCCGCAGCCAAGGAAAGCGAGACCGGTCAATATTTTCTTAGTGCGCCGTCTCTCTTCCAAACGGTCTCTTTCTATTGTCATTCAACGCACGTCGTTAGCATCAAGTCAAAAGCATTTTTGTCATTTGGCCTTGTTTTAAGTCGATCCCCCCACCGCTAATTACCCCACCTTTTGTTTGTTACATACCGTTATCAATGAAAACAGGTGGTCTATTTTTAGATTCAGATTACTGATAGAGATCAGTCAAATATGTTGCAGGTTGCCTCCCTTTATTGTGGCGGTACATTGCCAAACGAACTCTTTTGACTGGCGCGCTGCTGCATTTTAAAGAAGGTGTTTGATCACTCTTCTTTCCAAGTGAAAGCAGTATCTCACTGTAAATCAGACACTAGAGACACATTTTACACATAAGACGTTACCAAATAACCTGGGAATGCGCGAGTTTTAAGTTAAACTTACAGTTAAACTTAATCCTTAATTACACATCACATGTCAGATAGCAAAAAAAAAAAAAAAAGCCGTAATTTTTGTAAAATTAATTGTTTTAAAGATACAATTTAAATACATTTTTATTTTGCGAGTTTTAAGTTAAACTTAAAGTTAAAATTAATCCTTAATTTCACATAACAAGTCAAATAGCAAAAAAAAAAAAAAAGCCGTAATTTTTGTAAAATTAATTGTTTTAAAGATACAATTTAAATACATTTTTATTTCAAATGGGGTCTAAAATGTACACCAAGGTTTAAAATTTATTTTGTTAGTTTAGGTTTTCTTGAACTATTTGCCATATGATCCAATGATAATAAAATAACTAAGAAGCGTAAGAGTGACATATTATTTAAATTTATTCTGAAGTTGAATCTAAAGGTATCGTCGAACATTAGGACTTAAAATACATTCCCAACACCACAGGTTCATCACAGGTATCTTTAACGTTAATTTATTGTGGGAACTGTGGATTGTTTTAAAAGGCGTCGTCGTTTATCTACACGTGATTAACTTAACAATCAGAAGTCACTATCTCTCTGCACCCATTCGGTTGGGGATCATTCATTGTTTTGAAAGTTAAATATCACTAGATTGAACCCCCCCCCCCCCCCCCCCACACAACCCCTAGCCCAAATCGTGAACTTTTCAGGAAGTGAGCACAATGTACACCAACAAATATTTATACTGCACCAAAAGCCTTAAGGTTTACATATAGGCCTAGTTATGTTAATAAAAAAAAATATAAATAGTGATTTTATAGTTAACATTCGTAAGTGTTGTTTTCAGAATAGCCTACAACTTTAAATAAAACAACGAAAAGAACAAAGAAAAAAACACAAAGTACGAACTACTTGATAAATGGGGGCCTGATAGTTTATAAAAGATGGAGAAATAAGACAGGTAATCTGAATATATGATTTGAATAGCTTATATTATAAAAATATGGTTTAAAAAATAATAACACACTGCAGTTATTTAATTTTTTTTTTATGTCAGTGCAATTCATGACATGCCTTGTGATCTTACAGAAGACAAAAATAAAGCAATGAAAAACTATATTGTTTAGTCTTGAGTCATGTACTAGTCTCTCCGATTGGCTCATTTTGTGTTTACCGTTTTCTTTCCTGTGTAAATTCGGTGCCGTATTATAACCACATTCTAGAAAATTGTCTTTAAAAGTTCTTTGACACAAATTTCAGCTAGCTCCGCAATATTTCTCACGTTATTTGCCTAAAGTCAAAGACTATCGAATCAAATAAAAATTCCCACCAACGTTGATTTCTAAGAAACTAAAAAAAATCTCCCAAAAGAAACGATTTCTAGGCGTTACCAAAAAGACGAGGCAACTCTTGTTGACAGACCTCTCCCCCCCACCCACCCCCCCCCCCCCTTTTTT